CAAAGGCCCTAACTGGGAAAATGAAGCGAAGAGTCGGGGAGCCAGGGCCCTGTAGCGTCTCCACGTGTCCCACAGAGGGTAACAGTGCGTGGGATGCAGAAAGCAGGGCTCTGGGCCACTCAGACACCAGCTCGGTGACAGCTCCACCTGTGTCTCCTTGGGCAAAGTACACAGCCTCCCCAACCCCATTTTGCCTCCAGAGTGAGGACGGCCCTCCCTCCACGGGGTGCTCGTGAGGCATGGACCGTGCACCCCGAGGGCCAAGCTGGGGGCAGCCTGGTGGTGGCAACAGAGGGGCAGCTATGGGGACCACTGGCTTGGCCCTGACTAGGTGCCTGCCTGGCTGAGTCGCACCAGCACCTGCCAGGCTGTGCCCCAGTCCCTCTCCCCAGGCTCCCTGCAAAAAGGCTCCGCACTGGCCCTTCGGCTTAGGGAAACCTGCCTGCACCGCTGCACCTTCCTTCGCCTTCTCTGCCTCCTCAGTCACTTGCTGCTCCTACGCGGGTAAGCTGGGCCCTTACCTGCGACACCTGGGAGTACCTGATTTTCCAGCCCCTCCCCTGGGTACACGCCGTCACTGGCAACAGACACCGGCACAGCCCGCGTCGGTCACAGAGAGCTTTTGCTTCTTGGCTTCCTTTCGTCCACAGAGCAGCCCCTGAAGGACAAGCTCCCCACCTCCGCTCGCTCGCCCCTCTGCTCACGCACACCAGTGCATGATGCGAGAGGCCTGTGGTGCAGGGAGGACTGGGGGAGGGGCCAGGCTGGGTGTGGACCCTGCAGTCCGTCTGCCCTGGGTGCGGCCCAGGGTCTCGGGGTAAAGTTGTGCTCCTCCCGGACCGTGTTCCCAACACCTTGTGCGGTGGTTAGAGACCATGGGCAGCCACAGTGTCCGACGTGAGCACAGGGTGACCCCGGTTCCCGAGGCTGCCTAGGAGAAGCCCAGGTGACCTGTTAGCATTCTGGGAGAGAAACTTGAAGTGCCCCGACTGGAGGGGTGGAGGCAAAGCAAAGAGTGCGGGGCCCAGGCGTGTCGGGGCGCTCAGGTGGCACCCCCTTCCATGTGCCCAGTCCTCCGCGGTCCTCCCGGCCGTGGTGCAGGACACCTGGCAGTATCACCCCCTTTTTCAGAGAAGGAAACTGGTTCAGAGAGACTCACAGAACAGAGCGAGTGCCAAAATCCCGAAGGACAGCCTCCCCGCTGCCCCCAGGGCTGGGTGAGAGGCTTCACGCAGCTGATGGGCCCACGGCGCCCGCCGGCTCTGTACCCATCTGAAAGCGGAGATGCTGGGGTAACCCAAGTACAAGATGGCTTTCTAAACTTTACCATTGTGACCATATCCTGCTCGTGTTTCTGAGATGGCAACATCAATGTCTTAGTAGGTGACAAGTCCACCATAGCTCCCCAAAGCATTCTGACAACGAAGCACCAGTTCTAAAGCACTTCTTGGCGAAGGTGCTCTGTGGGCCGGAAACAGTGTCTGTGGGTGAGCTTCAGCTCAGCATCACCCAGGCACCTGGAGTGACTCCCCTCAGAGGAGACAAGTGAGCTACTAGATGGAAGGCAGTGGGCACGCAGCAGCGGACGTGCCCAGCTCAGCCCCGCACATCACGCCGCGGGTACCACGTCACGAAACCAGTGCACCTCCCAGGGACGGGCAGCGGGCTGCATGCTCTGTGCATGTCGTTCTCCTCGAATCCCAAGAACCCCGGGGGGGCGGAGGGGCTGTCCCGCCTCTTCCGTGCAGGGGAGGGAGCTGAGTTCAGGGGCCACGGTGCCCAAAGCCACGGACCCTGGAGGTGGTAGAGCGGGATGGGACCACGAGGAGCGTATCCTGGTGCCCTGGCTCTTCGTCACCGCACGGCCTGTCCGCCTGGTAATGAGAAGGGGCGGCAGGGCTGGAGGAGGCCAGGACCGGGACGAAGCTGAGCGGAGGCCAAGGGACCCCGGGTCCGGCCCCACCACTGGCTGCCGCAGCTTTCTTTCCCTGCCTGCCACCTCAGTCCTGAGACCGTTCGGACATCTGGTCAGTGGAGATGGCTGAGGGTGGGTCTGGATGACTGTGGGAGCGGTGTGTAGTCACGCGTGGACAGTTCTGAGGAATAGCACCTTTCACCTGAGGTGACGGGCTGTGTTCCTGCTTCACACACACACACCCTAGCTCTAGCCCCGAGCCATGTTCGAGAAAGGGGGGTGGGTGACACGGGACAACTGGGAGGCGGCTCAGGGAGTCTGCGGCATCCTGCTGGGTCTCTCTAAAAGCCTGGATTTTGAGAGCTCTTCCTGTCCCCCCACTGCCGGGGAGCAGGGCAGACGACTCTGGCAGCCCTAGGAATGCACATGTGCCGGGGGAGCAGACGAGGGGGCAGGGGAGGCGGGCAGGTCTCTGCCGCGCGGATGGGCAGTGGGGACCTGGCGAAGACAGCTGTCCTCTCCGAAGCGAACTGCAAGCCTGAAGGCTGGAGAGACGCACTCTGGGCTCAAAACCATGTGACCTGGAGCAAATTATGTGGCCTCCTGAGACCAGGTGCCTTCACCTGAAGTAAAATGGGGACCTTAACCCCTAGTCCTCGAAAGGCTGGACAGGGACCAAGTGAGGCCACGTGCAAAAGCTGTTGGCACAGGGACGATGCTCGACAGAGTGGCCTTCGATGACACTGGCCCCCAGGAGCCTTCTTCCCCGTGTGCCTGGACTTGCACAGCTTTTCATCCCTTCTGGACCGCTTCTGACTCTGGACTTGATTTCTTTCTCCAAGTTTCTGTCAGGGATGCTTACGCACTTCTAGGACTACACCGCCCACACTTTCTCACTCCTGGTGCTTTTGACCAGTCTTAAACTCAGGAAGAAAAAGAACACGAGAACAAGCTAATACACAAGGCGTGTGACGAGGCCTTCACCGACGGGGGGGCCGGCTCTTCACCCGGGCAGACCGAGAGAGGGGGCTGCAGGAGGCTCCCTGCGTCTGTCAGCCGTGGGTCCAGCTTGCAGGCCTTGGGCCGGCATGCTGGGTCTCCTGTCCCCGGAACACTTCCTGATTTCCCGTGACCGAAACCACGGCCCTTTGTCAGTGGTCAGAACACCTGTTTTTGTTCCTGCTGGGAAAGCGGAAGCTGAGGGAACGGCAGCTGCAGGGGGGTCACTTTCCCTTGTGGGCTGCAGCCACAGGCTGTCCCCCCAGACCCCGAAGTCTTGCTCCCCTGACCACCTACCCACCTGGCTGGGATTCGAGGCGCGGTCAGTAAAGGGTGGGCAGGTGAGGACGGCAGAGCGACTCAGTGCGGATGGAACGGAGCATGCCCTGGAGACCCGTGGGCCATGGAGGGTGGGGGCCGCACTGCAGGCTAACGCAGTCGGGGAAGGCTTCCGAGGTGGGATCTTCCAGAAGGAAAAGAAAAGGCCCCAAGTCACAGCACAGACAGTGATCGGGCTGGCTTTACCCATGGGGCCACGACACGGTAAGCTCAGCTGCTCTCTAGTAAGAGAACGCAGAATACGCAGGTACACTTAAGCCTCAAGTCTCTGTGCTGAGGACCCCAGGAAGAGTAAATGTATGTCCCCCACGTAGCAGAAGGCCTGGGTGACACATCTGACAGGCCAATCCCAGCCCTCCTCTCAATTCTGGGCAGGAAGACAGGAACAGAGATTTCGATACGAGTCAGCATGAGCAAACGAAACTCCCTAACGGAATGAAAAGCGCGTCAAGAAACGTCTGGACCTGGGAGCCATGCCAAGTCTTTCTGGAGCTTCTGAACAGCCAGAGCTCTGCTGCAGAGACTGGATTTCGGCCAGACTCCAGGGGCTGAGCAATGGCCGGCAAGGCTGCCGTGGAGGGGAACCCGACCTCTTCCTACGCGTCCCATGGCATAAACTTGACATTGACTACGTTGGCACTTTGTGCAGTTGCTGTATATAGTCAGAAACTGGAAAAACTCTCCTCACTAATCTTTCTGAAAAACAGCCCAGACAGCAGAGGGCCATGGTGAAGCGGCACAGTCAGCTGTCACGTGCGGCACCGGAGGGTTCGGTGGGTCCCTGACTAAGGGCAGCACAAGACGCCGGCAGTAGGCACGGCACAGGCTGGGGAAGGGGACAGTTCCCGAGGTTCTGCAGAGCGCGAGGTAACGGACCTGCCGACATGTTTACCGCTTTTCCAATGGTGGGGCCCCAGGGTGGCTTCTCAGGAGGTAAAGGGACTTCTGAGACGTCTCCCCGAGACAAGTGAGACGAAATCCGAGCTTCCCTTCCCAGGGCGTTGTCGCTGAGCCTGACCAGCGCTTCCCAAGGGTCAACGGGGTCCCCAGAATAGCCGCTGTTCTGAGCGTGGGCAAAGGTGGTGGCAGGGGCGGCTCTGACAGCAGAACTGCGTCCCCTCCACACTCTTGTGCTGGTGTCCCAACCCCCAGGGGCTTCGAACTGGCTGTGTTTGGAAATAAGGCCTTTAAAGAAGCAATTTCATTGACATGAGACCATTAGGGTGGGCCCCAACCCAATCTGAGCGGTGTCCTTATAAGAGGAGACAGGGACACAGGGACACCGAGGGTGCACGTGCACTGAGGGGTGACCATGTGAAGAAGTGGCAAGACAGTGGCAGTCCACAAGCCAAGGAGAGAGGCCTCGGAGGAAACCGAACCGCCGACACCTTGACCCGGGATTTCCAGTCTCCAGACTGTGAGAAAATAAACTGGTTTAAGCCACTGGGTGGGAGGTATTTTGTTATGGTGGCCTGAGCAGATTAATGTAGTTGCTCAAGCCAAGAAAGGCCGGAGGGAGATGCTGAAATCGGGGGACCATGGACATTCCCGCGAGCTCTCTGAAAAGGCTCAACACTGACCATGCCCCGAGCCCTGAAGGGCCGCCCCACGCCGAGCACTGCTCTGAGGCACCTTCCCTAAGCAAAGACAGCCACTCCTGCTTCACACGACCCTGGTCCTTTGATACAAAAGCACGGGGGCCAGGCATTTAATGAGCACTCAGCACATGGAGATGACATCTACTCACTGTTCAGCCACGTTTGGGTCAAAAGAATCCGTTTCGGTGGGTGTTTCAGGCAGGGAGGAGCCGGCCTCCTGTATCTGGCACAACTCCTCATCTGTGATGATGTCGAACACGACGTCATCTGGAGGCCTGCAGTCCGTGTTTGCACCTGGACCGCGGAGGCGGATCAGGAGAGAAGAGAAACACGCACGGTTATGCTCAGTTTGGCTCACTCACACGGCAGCTCTTCTGTCCTGATGTGAGAGCAGTGTCTGCTGGAATGTTCCAGGAGAGCCAAGGAGGGGACGACAGGTGAAACGGGCTGTCTACCTTAAGAGACTTTTCTTAAGCCCCTCGGTCAGGGCTGAGAGAGGTTCCGAGTTCTTACCCAGTCTCTGAGGAGCCTTATTTGGAAGGAAAATAACTTTATCAGAACCTCACCAGAATACAACAGTAAACACACTTCTGTGCTGCTGAATCCCTGAGCCATAAGACACGGACACCACCTACCTACTCAGGCCTCTGTGAAAACAGGAGCCTGTCGGACCTGCCCTGTCATCCCGACCCACCGAGGGGCGGGGGTGGGAAAGCCCCTGGCTCTGCTCAAGGAGTGACAATCACCACTGTGCTCTACCCGGGGGGCTTGTGTCCGACTTTGTGGGCCACTCGGCAGGGAGAATGCCGTACACAGGCCCCTGTGCCAGTCGCCCACCCGAAAGCACTCTCTTGCACGTGGCATGGAAAATGTGATTGCAGGTCTGAGGTGAAAGAGAGGAAGAAGGAAGGAGGAAAAGACAGATGAGAGGGAGGGAGGGAGGAAAGAAGGCAAACAGATAAAGAGACAGGAAACGTCAGAAATCGAAACGAGTGACGTCAGCACTCTGGCAGAGCGCCGCTCTCCGCCCCCGCTGGAGCACTCGTCAGTGAGTCAGGACAAGGCAAGGTCCCTGGGCCGTTCAGCAAGACGATGAGTTCCTATGAGCTACCAGTGCCTCGCTGGCCCTGCCACGTGGCTACTGGGACAGGCCACGCTTCAGAAGGAACGTTCTTCCTCTTCTCTGGTCTGCATACGGGGGGGCTTGAGGCACAGGCTGAAAAAGGGGCCCAGGATTGGTTTCTTTCCATAGACCCAGCCACACTCCTCAACCTGCCTTGAGACTGGCAGAGGGAAGGAAGAAGGAGGAAGAGTGAAGGGAAAATGAGCACAAGGGACTCAAAACGATGTCCACTGACAGAAATCAAAAAAGACCTCACTAAATGGAGAGCTATACTACACTACGTTCATGGACTGGAAGACTCGACTGTGTTAGGATATCAAGTCTCCTCAAACTGATCTAGGGATTCAATGTAATCTCCATCAAAATTTCACCAGGATATTGAATAGAAACTGACAAAATGATTCTAAAATTTATGTGAAAAAGCAAAGGGCCTTGATAAAGAACAAAACTCTACCCAATTTTAAGACTCGTAAAACTCTGATAACCCTAACTGCCGTATTATTTCCTGGTAAAAGAAAGAGCACACGGATGGATAAATAGAACGGAAAACAAAGTCCAGATACAGACCCACGTATGTAAGGGCAACTGAGTTTTGACAAAGATGCAAAGACAATTCTCTAGGAAAGTAATACTCTTAAGCTAATGGTATTAAAAGAATTAGACATGTGCAAAATAAAGGTGAATCTCTACAAAGAGCTTGCACCATATACAAAAATGAACTCAAAATGGTTCAGAGACCTAACTGTGCAACCTAAAACTATAAAACTTGTAGAAAAAAGGAAGATCTTCGAGTCCTTGGGTTAAACATATATGCCACTAGAAGAAAAGAAAAAATCTGATCCATGAGAAAAAAAACTGAAAGGCTGGACTTCATCGAGATTATCAATATCTGCTCTATGAAAACCATTTCTGCTCTTTGGAAGAAAAGGAAAAGATAGACTATAGACCGAGAGGAAATATCTGTAAAATGCATACCTGTAAATAATTTGTACCTAGAATATATAAAGACCCCCAAAATTCAATAATCAAAAAAGTTTGTTTAATCAGCAAAGGTTTTAAGATATGCTAAAACTGCGTGAAATACGTGTCCCCACCCGAGCAGCTCTCTGGAGCCGGCGTGAATGGGGGGGCCTGCCGACCTTGATGAGTTAGACAAAAGGGGAGCGGACAGCACTTCGGAAGGCTGGCTGCCCTGGATCCAGGCAGAGGCCAGGGCAGAGTCCAGAGGGCCCACCTGCAGGAGGCCGTGATGGGTGAGCGAAGATGGGACTCGCCTCTGCCCCTGCCATCTCAGCTCTGCCTCCAGGATATCCACAGTCCAGTCCCAGAGGGCAGGCTGGACCGCTCTGCTAGGCCGAGCTTGGAGCAGCAGGAACTAAATCCTGCTTCTTTTCACTGAGCTAAGTGAAAGGACACGAAGGCGAACACATCCCCCCGGCCACTGAGGGAGCACGTGAGCCATGTGGGGGGCGTTGGGGGGGTGGAGGGAAGGATGCGGCTGTTCCCTGGGCCACTGGGAAAGAGCGCGGGATATTGGGCCGGGCTGTGGGAGACGGCGTTGTCCAGGGCGTGGAGGACGCTCCACGGGTAGTGTGTGAGCTAAGAGGTACACAGAGCTCATGTTAAACAACACTAAATCATATAGGGAGAGAATTATTCCCTTTTCAATTCTCTTTCAAGCCTAATTACATCAAAAAGAAAGTCTCAGACTGGTGGCACTATATTTTTAGCACTTCTGTAAAGCCTAGGTTCGGAAAACACTGAATTACGCTTGTTACAGCTAACGAGCCACGATGGGGGAGCGAGGTGGGAGTGGAGCCTACAGAACACGGAGGGCAGCAGCAGGACCCTGACCTTGGCCTCCGGCGGCCTGGGGCCCAGCGTGGGCCGGGGACAGTGCGGGGCTGGGCTCTCCCTGGCTGGTGCCCGAGCTGGTGCTGTCGGGGGAGCCGGGGCCCTCGCCGAGCTTCTGGAAGCAGGCTCGGCAGCAGCGCTCCTTCCTGCCGCTGGGCTTCGTCACGACGTAGTTGTTGCAACAGTAGTAACAGAACACGCGGCCACAGACCCTGGGGACCAGACGAGCAAAGGCTGTGAGGACGACGCGCTTGGGCCCTTACGGGATCTGCCCAGCACCGGAACTGGGCTCTGTGTTGAGTTCTGGACACCACGTGGCTCTCGTCCAACCTGTCCCCTCCCCCACTTGAGAGTGTGGCCTGAAGGGCTATTTGATAAGGTTCTAATAAAGCCGTCCTCGTGGTAAGCTTAGCAGGAGGGCGTTTCATTTCCTAAGGTCGTGGGAGGCCGGGGACAAGGCGTGTGGCCAAGCCCGCCTTCCCTGACACAGGACGCGGGTGTGCATTCCACGCCTCGGCCCCGTGCTAATGGTGCTCCCTCTGCCCCGGCCCAGTCCGAGATTCACGTTGCCTCCCCTCCTTTGGGCCAGGGAGTGTCCTTGCTCTCTGGGTTCCTCCCGCTGGGTTCCAGCAACGCCGTTTCCGGTCCCTGGGCCCCCACTCCCCCTGGGTTCCGGCAACGCCGTTTCCGGTCCCTGCAGGCTCAGAGGGCCCAGGGCTGCTGGTCTGTGAGTGCTCCACAGCCCTGTGGGCCCCCTCAACCCCACTCCCACCTCTGAGTCAAACTCTTCCCTTCCTGGGGTCCCGGAGTGTCCTACTGTCACCCCGCCGAGCACACCCTCCTCGCCCAGCCCCCGCACGGCTGAACGGCACTGCGCTCCCCCGGGACAGCCGGCCACGTCCAGGCCTACGGGCCGCCCGCTGACCTGCAGTGGTGCCGCCGCACCATCCAGCTGAACTCCCGCTTGCAGTCGAAGCAGTGGTTCGCCTCTGTGTCCCCGAGACACCTCTCCTCCTCACTGAGCTTCTGCTGGAATTCCAGGGCATCTGACTTCTGCCAGAGGGCGTCCTTGTCCCTGTGACAGAGCCACATTCAAAAAAAAAAAAAAAGAATCCATGAAAACAGAATTATCCCCAATTCATTTCAAAAGACTGACTTCAACTTGCCAAGACACAGAAGGAAAATCCACTTTTAACTTGGAAACACAATCCGCCCTAGGGCTCCTCTGTCACGCACACTAGTCCCAGACTCGACAGGACCCTCCAAAAATGCGGGTCCTTAACTGACGCCACATGTGGAAGCAGAGGCAGTCCAAGAGGTAACGAAGCAGCTCTGGCCACTGCGAAGGGTGCCAGCACGGATGAGGGTCACACGCTGCTCAGGTGTCTAAACGACAGTGCATAAGGCCACTGGGGGTTCGAGCTACATGGGACGTGACACTTACACGATGGTCTGTGTGCTGTGAGCTCAAGGACCACGACGGCATCGCCCACCCGAACCTGGCAGGTACTTGGGGCCCTTTATGGTTTTATGGTTTATGGTTCAAGTAACGACCAATCATTGCAGCAAGATTTCCCAGTCTGAACTCCGACGGGACGTTAACCTCCCCTGCTCCTCCGAGAGACGGGGCGGTCGCTCCAGGAAGCGAGACTGAAGGAAGCGGGAGGCTTCCCAGGTCTGGCGTCACCGACCACGGCCATCTCACCGGGACGTGTGCAGAGACTTCCTTGCTGCTGCTAATGGCCATTTTCCGGGCTTATGCCTTCTGACGTGGGGAGGTCTAATTCTTTCCTGGACGGAACCCCGGCCACCGTCCTGAGGGTTAATGTGGCCCAGCAGCACCTGTGCCCCGATGACCAACAGCAGAGCCACTCGAGCCCTGAGAGAGACCAACTCCATCACCAGCCAGGGTTCCGTATCAACTCCAGATGACTTCCCCGAAAACCAAAAGCCAGACATGGAATTGACTGGCTTTTTCAGGACACCTGAAATTGTCAGGAAGCACGAAGATTCGTTCTCTAGACCGGCACTTCTCACGGCTGGTCCAGTAGGCCAGGGGCCCACACCCTGGGAATGTGGGGATACTGTCTGCACCTGGGGCTTTTCATCATACACCTTGGGATGATGTTTGCACTCACAGGTCATGAAGGCCCTGAGTTACAAGTTTGCAAATTGATGACACGTGGGCAAAGTTTTAAACTTCCAATTAAGTTATGATTTAATGTCACCATTTTGCAACCCCAAATAAATGAACAGATCTAGGCATTGCTTATCCGTGGCTGCTAACATTCAAAGAGAGGGCTAACTGGGTCTTGTGTGGCTCCTGAAGGAAAGACCCGGAACTATAAGCCAATTCTGTGACGCGTTCTGGCCGAAAGTTTGAACCTGAGGCTGTGCAAGGCTCTAGCGGAGCGGTGGTTTCAGCTCTGGCTCTCTGAGGTCTGGACCTGCTCCCCGAAATTCTAATTTGGTTGTCTGGGAGCGGGGGGCCTGGAAATAAGTTTTTTAATGGATTCCTCAGTGATTCCAACGTGCGGTCAGGGCCGAGAACTCAGCTCTAGTTTCTATCATCAATTTATAGGAAACACAAAGACTGAAGAGAACACAGGAGATGACACCACAGGCACGTAATCAGCAAAATGTGGGCCACGGAAACCACCAGATGAGTGACCCGGCTTTTTCAAAAGTCAATTGCAAAAAAAAAAAAAAAAGAGAGAGAGAGTGGGGAAACCCAGACTTAAAGAGATCTGAGCAACATTTCCATGCAGCGTATGGATCTAATTTAGATCTTGATTAGAAAAAATGATAAGGCAATTGGATAAATTTGAAACTAGCTAGATACATAATAACCTTTAAGTGTGGTAACAATATGGTTGTTTAAAATGGAGAGTGCTTGTCTTGGAGAGATTCCGACTAAAACGTTTGAGGATGAGCTGCTCTCTGGGATTTGCTTCAGAAGAATCTGGGGAGGTGGGGGAAGTGGGTGGGGCTCTGGATGGAACAAGATCACCCATGAACTGAGTCATGCTGAAACTGGGTACACGCACATAGGGATGCATTATTATTCTGTTTCTGTATATCTGACCATCTCCATGAGAAAAAAGTTTAAAAATTTTTGAATGACCTGCCAATGTTTAAAAGTCAGGCCAATTTCACATAAAAATTTAGATTTCCACCTTCTCTTAAGAAATAAGGTGACCTGGCAACTCTCGGCTTGGGGCCTGTGTGGCACCACCTGGCAGGAGGGAGCATGCCGTGCCCTCCGGCTTCTGACAGAGGGGCAAGGGCAGGGGGACATTCTGTAAGATCCTGAGCATCACTTATGGTCCCTCTCGTGACTAAGCACAGAGACTGAAAATAGTCACAAAGCAATATGAAAACAAACCGGATGTCAGCGACATCCTCGCGAGGCCGCCACGGGCCTGAGCGGACCCCGCAGGGGTGCGGGGGCCCTCGACACAGACTGCGCCCAGACAGGACCGGGGAGGCAGTGCTCCCACTTCTAAAAACAGCCACATTTCTTTAAAGAAAAACCAAGCTTGCGGGGAAACCCCAGCCACCTGGGTGTCCCGACATTCACCTGAGCAGCTCTATCAGCCGTTCCTCCAGGTATTTCTTGGTTCTATTCAGATCATCCAGGTCGGCAAGCATCTTTTGGTCATTCTTCTCCCGGTCTGTCGCCTCCTGGCAGAGTTTACTGTAATACTCCTGGGTTTTTGTCGTAGCTTTTTCAAGCTCTTTCTGGGTCCTGGAGGAGGAGTGGTAAG